GTGAAAAAAATATAATAGGACAACCCAAAGAGTTTGGAACAGTTGAACAACGAAAGCCGATTCCGGTTCTGGATGCCCTTCACCAAATTCTGTCAGCAACTGCCAACTGCATTCATTATTCTGCGAAAGCTCTCTCGTGGAGCTACGCCGACTACGTTTGCAACAACAATCATTACCAACCCGGTAACGTGCGCTCATCCATTAATGAAATGGGGAAAGCAAACGGCAACCGCAGGACCCCTAACAGCGCCAACGGCCCCAATTCTTATCCCACTCCCGTCAGGCCCCTTTAAACACGGTCCATCTGCTCGCCCACCATGACCCCCCACTTCAAACCCACCCCAGATGGTCCCTTCCTTGCCTTACGCTCACGTCGACTCCAGCTTACGAGCCCTCGCAGGCCAAGCTGAGGCTTTCGGTCGCTTTGCCATCGGCGGACTCCACGGTCCCCTTTACCCCGTCACCACTTTAGCACGTAACGCAATGTAGGAGTATACTTTCTGTAATGTCTCTTGAACTCTGATTGCTTACATTGGTTCAGTAATTTATGATGTTGTTCTTGTTTAGTTGGATGATTGAATTGGATTTCACCCAATTTTTTCCTTTCCTTTTATTCCGTTGAGGAACTCTGAAGTTTTTGGCTTGATAATGTTTGGATTTGGTCTTTGAGTGTTCATAATGTTTGAATAGTGGATGAAGTTAAAGATGGGATCTTGGATATGTACATGGGTAGGGACAAGATTGGTAAGTTCTGCCAATTTATATTGAATTTAAAAATGGGGCATCCTTGACTTCTGATTTAACCGTGTGCTATCTTGTATTTCTGAAATTAGCTGACACTGTTGATTTGAAAGGATTAATGTCAAGTTGTGCGAAAACTGGTATGAGAATTATAACACTTGAAGTCTTAAACAACAACAATAAAAAAGAAACTGACAATGTTTTCTGTTACACATTGGCATTTTGAGACTTCCTTTTAGGAATATGTTTTTGAAGAGTCTAAAATATTATGGATTTTATGGTTGTAGATGATAGGCCAGGATCATTGCGTGATGGTTGTAGGAAAAAAGAGCCCCTCTGGATTGTCTTTGAAGTTTCAGGAACTATTCATCTTTCATTGTACCCGAGTGTCTTCTTATAAGACCATTGATGGCTGCGGCCAAAGGGTAAAACTCACAGGGAAAGGTTTGAGTCTTAAGGAGTGTGAGCATGTTATTATATGCAATTTGGAGTTTGAAGGTGGTAAAGGACCTGATGCTGATGGCATTCAGATAAAACCTAAATCAAAACATATATGGATAGATCATTGCGGCCTCCGTGCTTATGATAATGGATTGATTGATATCACTAGAGAAAGCACAGATATTACTATTTCTAGGTGAGGTTAATTCCTTGTTGGAAGGAGATGTTTTTGGAAAAGTTGAAAATTACTCATAACTGATTATCAATTTACGGTGTTTTCAGGTGTCATTTTTCACAGCATGACAAAACAATCCTCACTGGACCTGATCCTTCTCACATTGGTGATAGATGTATTCGGATAATTATTCAGCACTGCTTCTTCGATCGAACCCGAGAACGGCATCCTCGTGTTAGGTATGGAAAAGTGCATCTATACAATAATTATACCAGAAACTGGGGCACTTATGCAGTTTGTGCCAGTGTGGAATGACAGGTTGATGATAGTCTTACCATTTTGTAATCTTGCTTTTCCTTTTTGATTCCCTGCTTGTTATTTTTGAAGGTATCTTGGTCTATGTAATGGGTTGTTCCGTGAAGATAAATGATAAAGATGTTCCCATTTGTTATTGGTATAAGATATACTCTCAGTGCAATGTATGTTGGAATTGTTCCAGATAATCATGCCACCAAAGCTGCTGTGCTGCTGTCCATTTGAGTCAATTTGTCTCTTATTTGAATTTAATTTAGTTTGTTGCAGTTTGTTTAAAGAACTATGTTATCTTTAGTAATTGCTGAGATAGTTTTATAACTGCCATAATCTGTATATTTTAATTTTAAAGTTTAAAAGTACGACATGAAGTGTGTTGCTTTTACACTCAATCTCTCCTTTCTTAGTTTCATATCCTTCAATTGGTATCACAGCCTTTTTAATCCGTGAGGGTCTATGAGGTTTTAACATCAATATTTGAGAGAGTTTAGGCAGAATCATGGAAGCAAGTATCAGTTTCACCACAAAGGCACCTGTGTTTTGTGGCCAAAATTATCAAGTTTGGTCAATCAAAATGAAGGCATATTTGAGAGCATTTGACCTCTAGGATGCTGTTGAGCATGGCATTGATCCACCCCCTTTGCCTAGAAATGCAACCTTGAACCAAATAAGGCATCACACAAAGGAAGTGACAAAGAAATACAAGGCATTGACCACAATTCATTCTGTAGTGTCTGAAGAAACTTTTACAAGGATTATGACTTGTGAAATAGCAAAGGGAGCTTGGGATAAACTCAAGGAGGAGTTCTAGGGAGATACAAAGGCAAAGCAAATTAAGGTGGTTAATCTTTGGAGGAAATTTGAGGTTCTCAGAATGAAAGAAACAGAGATTGTGACAGAATTTTCTAACAGGTTGATGAAAGTGGTGAATCAAATCAAAATACTTGGTGAAAAACTCACAAAGAAGAGGATTGTAGATAAGGTACTTGTGAGTTTACCAGAGAAATTTGAGCATAAAATTTTTTTCTCTGGAAGACTCAAAGGACGTGACACAAATGACACTTTCCGAAACTTATGAATGCACTTCATGTTGTTGAACAAAGGAAAGCAATAAGGCAAGAAGCTTTTGATGAAGGTGCTATTGAAGGTGCTTTACTTGCAAATGAAAGAGGAAAGGGTCAATTCAAAGATGTTGAAGAGAATTAATTTTTTGACAAAAATAGAAAGGAGAAGAGAGATTTTCAAAAGGACCAACAAGTAGCAACTATAAAGGCAAGAAAAAGCCTTCTCCTCCATGTCCTCATTATGGAAAGATTACTCATAGGGCAACTTATTGTTGGTTTAGGCTTGGTGTCAAATGCAAGTCATGTAAGCAATTTGGCCACGTTAAAAGGTTTGCAAAGCTAAGACAAATCAATACCAGAAAGCTCAAGTTGCTAAGAATGTGGATTAGGAGGTAGAAGAGTTGTTTCTGGCTACTATGGTTGAGAGTTGTTCATCAGCGTTTTGGGTTCAAATTGTTGGCTCATTGATAGTAGATTCGCCCATCATATGACCTCAAATTTGGCCATTTTCAAGACACTTGATAGATCCTACTTCTCAAAGGTTAGACTTGGAACTGGAGAACTTGTTGAGGTGAAAGGAAAAAGGATAGTTGCTGTTAATACACCAACCGATATTAGGTACATTTGTGATGTTTTATATGTGTCTTGCTTGAGCCAAAATTTGATTAGTGTTGGTTAGCTATTAGAGAATGGTTATTCAATGCATTTTCATGATGAATGTGTTGATGTGGTTAATAAACTTGGTGTAAAAGTATTTATTGCTGGTGTGAATCACAGAAGTTTTTTTATTGATTGGAACCAAATTAAAATTAAAGCATGTACCATTGTTGTGGATGAATTGGAGAAATGGCATAGGAGGTTTGTTCATCATAGTTATGCTTCACTGAAGTTGCTATAGAACAAAAATATGATTGTGGATATTCTCGTGATTTGTGAGCTTGATGGTGTATGTAGTGTTTGTCAAAAAGGAAATTTTAGTAAGCTTTCTTTTGCAGTGAACAAAGCTTGGAGAGCTACAAAAAAGCTTCATTTTGTTCATTCTGTTTTTTGTGGTCTAGTACAAATCTCATCAATAAATGGTAACAAACTTTCCTTGTTGTTTATTGATGACTTTAGTGGAATATATGGGCTGGGTTTATTTCTTGAAGCAAGTATCCGAAGTTTTTAATGTTTATGGAGTTTTAAGGCTTGTCAAGAAGGAAAAAGAGGTGCAGATTGTATATTGCAGCTCTGAATATTAGTTAGCAAACTTTTCCACCAAACCTTTGCAAAAGAAAAGGTTTGAAGAACTTAGAGATTGGCTTGGCATTTGCAACTTTGTTTTGAAGGAGGAGTTTGTCGGAATCGTTCCAAATAAGCATGCTACCAAAGCTATTGTGTTGCTGTTTCTTTGGGTCAATTTATCTCTTATTTGAATTTAATTTAGTCTGTTGCAGTTTGTTTTAAGAGTTATGTTTATTTTTAATAACTGCTGAGGTAGTTTTACAATTGTCATCATTTGTATGTTTTAAAATACTGAATGAAGTGTGTTGCTTTTGCACGCAATTCTCTCATTTCTTAATTTCATTTCCTTCAATATATATGAAGCAGGGCAAAAGAAGGTGGCATTCAAGTATCTCACAGAGAAGGCAGGATTTGACATTTTTCTATTAAAATTTTATTTTTATCTAATACTATGGTTAGTAGGGACAGAGCAAAACTTTATGGTAGGGGAAAAAGTTAAAATTTTTTTTAAGTCATTTAACTATTTTTAACTAATATATAATTTAAAATCATTAGATAAATAATATAAAAAGAGAACTTATTTTTCTTTGTAAAGTTGTATTTATCAAATTAATTTTAAATTTAATAAATATTTACATAAATAAAATAAATTCAACCATTAATTTAATAAAATATTAATTAAAAAGCATTAATCACTCAATTACTAAAGTGATATTATATCATATTATACAAAAAAAAAAATTTTTTTTGACAAGGGTAATGGTTAGAAAGTTGATATGAATTAGTTGTTAACAACTAGGGATTTCATCCCCAAACTGGGTGAATATTTTACCCCTCAAATAAGGTTCGCGGCCATCAGACCATTTTTTGATGGAGTTCACCACAATGGTAGATCTTGAAACTCCGACCACCTCATCAAAATACTTAAGATTTGAGGTTGAACCATTGGTTCTAAAAGCCCGATTCATATTATACAAAATATTGAAAAGAAAAACACTGTAATAACTTGTTTGATTTCATTTCAACCACTGGTTTGATGGATTCTTCAATTCGGATGGTGATATGTATGTTCTTTTAGTGCTTGTTCTGTTCATGCCATTCCATATGTCCTCCAGTCGGCTGACATGGACGAGGCAAGCACCGGCCGCATAATCTCTGAAGGGGACCTATTCATTACCTGAACCCAACCAGGCCTAATAGCTGAGACGACTGCAGGTCAGTCAAAGTGTCAAACATGTTTCATCCTAGTGAACACTACCCTACATGGACCAACAGACTCCCTCAAACACGCCCTTCAGCAGTGTACTGGATGGCAGCACGTTCCGCAACCAGTTGAACTAGTCGCCGCATAAACGTGTCTTTTTGTTTTTTTATTATTAAATGAGGAATTATACAATATATATGGGACACGTTTATTCTTTTCAAATATCTTTTTATTTGTTTCAGAATTTAAATTTAATATTTTTAATATAAAAATTTAAAATTTTAACTATTAAGACATAGATATCTATAGGTACACTGCATAAACAATTCTTCCTTCTTGGATTCCTTTCTTAGTTCATATAAAATGTATACATGCATGTTTCTTGTCAGCTAGTGCTTGTGCAATGTAAGTAAATGGTTGTTTAATGCAGCTTGTGAGAAAGATTTATTATCCATAAAAACATAGACTGTACCAAATATTACACCTTTTGAAAATTGCTCCAACTTTTGGGAAGCTGGTCTTTTCATTATTTCTATTGAAATTTTCAGAAGCACAGTTTCGATCAAAGTAGTTAATACCGTATCGATATATGTATCGATTTTGCTATTGAAACGGTATATATCGGATATTAAAATTTTTTACGTACCGTTTCGGATTTATCGTTATAAATATATATTTTTATAAATTAAATATCAAATTTTAAAATAATTATAAAAAAAATTAACATAATTAAAAACAAGATTTGAAAAAACTTTTTGAATTAATATAATCTTTTTTTTCTTCAACCATTAACTTAAACTTCATTATAACTCAAGTAAAAATCCTTTAGATACTTTAACTTAAAAATATTAAGATGATAATAATGATTGAACAGGCAATAAAGAATCATATTCAATTTCGCTAGTCTATTTGGAAGTCGGTTCAAAAATATCAGACACAAATCAATACCTTGTAAAAAAATATCATAGTAGCTCTAGAGCTAGCTGATCAACAGCTGAATCCCTTTCCTCTGCACCACACGTGTTGAGTTATACAAGACACCTACGTACATATATGCTCATTCAAACCAACACGTAGATAGACCATCTAATATGGATTCCCAAAAACATGAGCTCATCTTCATGTAATATCCTTGACTTAAAATATGTTTTCTTGTTGGTTTCAAACCAAATGTTAGAAAAACAGTTTTCGTCAAGCATGTTTTACCCATTTTTTTCTTTTTAAATAAAAAAATTTATAAAATTTAAACTGAAAGTAAAAAATATTGTAATATTGAGAGTTTTTTTTTCGTATGATTATTTTATTTTATAATTTAACGTAATTTAAATAATAAGATATAAAATTCTTTTAAATTTTATAGTTTTACCTTTAAAGCATTACATATACAGAGTCAGATTGAAGGTTCAAATAAATTTGAACTCGAACTAGAAGATGGTTCGGCGGCAGGAGGGCTTAAGTAAAACCTTCTAAAGTTCCATCAAAGCCCGAGAAATGCAGGGACGGACAGATGTGTGGAGCTAGGTGCTGGAGACGGAGTTGGGTTGCTAGAGACAGAGCTGGGTTGCTGGACACGAAGCTCGGCTGCTGGGGACGGAGCTCGGCTACTGGAGATGAAGCTCGGTTGCTGGAGACGGGTGAAGAGAAACAAGATGCAAGATCTAGCCCTGCACCACTGGTTCACCAAGTCCAAGATCTAGGGCGCCGATTCACAAAACAGGAAGGAGGAGCAGCAGTAGCTGCACGCCCTGCACCACTGGTGAAGAGGGTTGGATCAGAGGGCAAGGCTAGGGTCGGATCGGAGGGCAAGGCTATGTTCGCAAAGTATGCTCGATCTGAAATTGCATATTTGCAGAAATTAAAAGCCCTTGACCAAAACAACGTCGTTTTGGGCAAGGAAATCCTTTTTTTTTTTTTTTTTCTGGGGGGCATGAAGTGTAACAGATGGAATTTTGTGTACTGACCGATACACCGAATTTTAACCGAAATAAAATTTAATGTTGTACCGTTTCGATCAAGTATCAAAATCGGTACGTACCGACCAATACGAGATTGACTTTTTTGGTTTCGATGCTTCCGCGGGATCTTCTACTTCTGTTTTAATGAAATGTAATGTACACAATTTCCTTATTTTATCTTCAAGTTTTAATCAATTTACAAATAAACCACTCTATATAAGGATCCAATTATAACACTAAACCACTATTCCCCTTTCTTTCTCAGCCAGCCCAGAATCCCTAACCTATCTTCTTCCTCATCTTCACTATTCCCATTTCTTTCTCAACTCCGGTTCTTTCTCAACCAGCCCAAAATCCCTAACTTGTCTTCTTCCCCATCTTCACCATTACCATTTCTTTCTCAACCAACCTGAAAAACAACCCAAAATCCCTACCATCTTCTTCCCCGTCTTCTTTCTCAACCAACCGAAAATCCCCTAACGTTTTCCCTGTCTTTTTCAATTCTTCCCCTAAACCCAAAATCCCTAATTTCCTCCCTAATTTTCCCTAGACACTGCTATTGGAAAATCCCCTACCGTTTTCCCCGTCTTCTTTGATTCTTCCCCTAAACCCAAAATCACTAACTTTCCCCCTATTTTTCCCTACACACTGCTATTAGAAAATCCCCTAACGTTTTCCCATCTTCTTCGGTTCTTCCCCTAAACCCAAAATCCCTAATTTCCCCCCTAATTTTCCTTGGACACTGCTATTGGAAAATCCCCTAATGTTTTCCCATCTTCTTCGGTTCTTCCCTAAACCCAAAATCCCTAATTTCCCCCCTAATTTTTTGGACACTACTGTGAAGAAGAGTGTTAAGCCACCAGACACGAGAGTGAGGAGCTTGAGGATTTAGATCTTGTGCAATTCGGTCTACTTGTTCAAGATCTATACAAAGCCACATTTTCAAGTAAACTCTCCTTGCTCCCCTTTCTTTCTTTTTGACTTCTAGAAAACATGGCTTTCAAATCAATAAGAAGGTCTTTGAATGATTCTGGCTCTAGTTCATCCATTGATTAGGTTTTATTACCATCTAATTAAATAAGAAAACTAAGGAAGGCCGGGCTAGATTATTAATTATCTCAGTGGGAATTGCCCTCAAAATGATGTCGGTCTATAGTTTGCCCCTTTCGTATTAGACGTGAAATGAACCAATCCAATCAATTGGATTAATTATTTTTGGACAATTGGTTTCCGGTTAGCAGATAAACTAGTCTTTCCTTTGGATATGTGGCTTGATCTTGCTAAACCATTATTTGATAGTAATTTGTATTGTAGCATTTCTTCGGTTGGTAGCTGTTTCAATTTCTTGTCTGGCTTGCTTTATTGTTTTAGCATGGATGATTGTTGGGATGATGGCATCAATATGTATTAGCTTTATCTGATAATTCTCCATAGTTTTAGCATTTTGTTTTTTGTTATGGTTTCTGCTTATTCTCAGTATATATTAGAGCTCCTATTTGAGCAGTAATTGAATTTTTAGAAATAGAATGTATTTGAGATATTGTTAGTTTCTAGTGTCATTGTTTGTGTATCTGTGTATTAATCTTTAAGTCTTAGTAAGTGGATTTAAAATGCAAACTTAATGCTAGGGGAACTGATCAAAAGTTTAAAAATGCAAATTGAGCAATGAAGTAAACATAGATTTAAAATACCAGTAGTGTTATTAATTCTTGTAATTTTCTAAAAGACAAAAGCACATGTAGAACATCCAAATGTTTGTTAGTAAAATAAGAGAGTAGATGATCTCTCTCTTTCAAGTGCACATGCATTTTATATAAACATACGTTGCTTTAGGATATGTAACAAGAAATCTCACATGCTATTTGATGGATATTATGTGATTGCCACAAGCAGTCCCAAAAATATCTAACCACTGATCTGCTCTGGTGGCAAGGTATTGATAGTGTTGGAAGCAGTTTTCTTGTTTAGTATTGGTTTCAACTTTTAAGAGTACAACTGGACCAAAAACCTGAATGAGTCCTCTGAACAATACATAACTTAAACCACAATCATGCTATATTGTGACTTTGTAGATGTAATAATACATATGAAAACAGTTATTGCAGTTATTAGCATGTTTTGGATCTCAAAATTCTATCTCTTGTTCATGCAGTTCCATATATTTGGACGTTAACATTTTCATCCTGACAATTTTGGTTTATTGTTTTAATTGCATTATCTCATGCAGATCCATGTTCAGATAAAATTCTCAGAGCCAACTAAAAAGGGACTCGATTTTCTGTAGTATGAAAGGGATCAGGTTTTCTATGTTTACCTTGAAGTAGAGATTTTTCTCTCCTTGAGAAAAAACCATATCCTTTTCTACTTTCTCACAAATGGGGAAAGGGCTGGGTTGATCCTAAGATTCGTCGTCAAAGGTTGGAAATAATTCAAGCAAGCAGACAACCACGGCACTTACATAAAAGAAAATCAAGAAAGTTTAACACAGATTTGAAAATTGGTCGTGGTAGCATAATGGCAAAAGTCTTGAAAAGAAGTAAAATAGCAAGATTGTTTTCTTTCTCTCTCTCTCTCTGTTTTCGTTTTTTAACCATTTGGTTGGAATGTATATGTGAAGGTAACAGCATGGTTCTTCTTCCTTCATATGGTAAGGGAACATTGGTTATGGGGTAGATGCAAAATTTTGTTGTGTTTTAAAATGTTATTTCTAATATTCAGAAAATCATTGAAATTTGGACCAAAAAA